CCCACAGACTCTCCTTTGAGATCGGAGGCGAGGCGTTGAATATCCCTGTGCGTCAGCTCCCAAAAATGAGGACAGCAGCCCTACCAAACTCTCATGCCAGCTTACGTGATATTTCATTTTTAAAAAAAAATTTAAAAAAAAAAAAAAAAAAAAAAAGCTAAAAAAGCCTGCTCAGGTTTCGTCTGATTGCAGGAACACACTCCTCCTCCTGGGCTGTACTGGCTGTATCAATTCAGTTGAATGTACGAAGAAATAAACAGGGAATAAGCTTTTACAAGTTTTTAAAGTCTGCCTTGCAGTGAATTTCTATCAAACCTAATCAGTTCGGCAGACAGAGCGGTGGAAATCCATGGAATTTCTATGTATTATGAGCAGTGAAAAATCAAAAGCAGCTGAACAAACCTGATGCTGGGAACTCATTTGCTGCGTTTTTAGTGCTTGTTTCACACACAAGCTATTATTTTCTTTTTTCTTTTTTTTTTGTTTCATAGAAACAGTACACACTTGCAGTATTAATGTAAATATTTTGGTGTGTTTTCCAGATGACAGCACTGGAGAAAGCCACTGGTGATGTTGTGCTCAAGTTTGAACCATTTGTTCTTCATGTGCTCTGTCAAGAGCTGCAAGATGCACAGCTTCTGGTAAAATTACATCAACCAACAATGTTACATTGTTGTCCCCTAATATTCCTTGCTGGGAAAGTCCTGCTCCTGAGTAAGCGTTGGCTCTTAGGTGTAGTCCCAGATGTGCTGTATGTTTAATAACTGGGGTAGTAAAAGCCAGCTGATGAAGAAAACACAGCTTTACACTTAGTAGAGATTTTGCTGTAGTTTTTAAAAAACAAAATTACTCAACTCCAGCTGAGTGTCCGAGCTGAAGCAGTTGCCTGGTGCAGAGTTTCTCCGGGGGGCTGGTTTTTCTGGCTGGCTGAGAGCGATGGGCTTAGTGTGCCTTTGCCAGGCCCTTTGGCTCCAGAGCTTCACCCCAGTCGGCCCTTTGCCTTCTGCTTTTCTGAGTGACTCCAGAGAGTGAGCCTGATGGACTTGTTCCCTCATTAAGGTAGAGGAGCGTTGATGAGCTTCTCTTATACCACTGCTGCCTTTTAGCTCTGAGGTGTTGCAGGACTGTCTGTGGGGTTCCCAGCTCTGCAACAGGCAGCACCCAGAGGCATTAACATCCTCTCTGCGCTAACGAATGGAGAGGAGACGATCAACACCCACCGTGGTTCTTTGAGAACCAACCACAATTCTTGATACTATACGAGTTTGAGCTTAAAAACACTTCAATATGACTGTTACTGCATGAATTGGGGGAGATGGTTGTGAACAAGTTCTTTTGGCAAAGCCGAGTTTATAAACTGTGTTGCAACCCGTCCATCATTATTTGTGCCTGTGAAAGTGTGTAAGACCTGCTGAAGGCATTTATTTGTTCTGCAGCACTCAGTGGCCATGGACTCTGGCTTCAGGAACTCTGGTATTTCGGTTGGCAGAGGAGGAAAAATTATGATGGTAAGGACTCTTCTATTCACCTGCAAGGAATGTAACAAAATGGCATCGTTACTGTCAACCTTGAGTTTTTTACAAGCCAAGATCTGAAGTGCAAAGTGATGGACAGCTGTCACAGGGCATGCTGGAGCTTATTTCTGCTTTAGTTGACAGCAAACTAACCAACTGTGTGCATAAGTGTTCTTTTCCTGTACCAGACTCCTCATATTATATAGATAAGCCTCATAAAATAATAATAAAAAAAGTTACTGTAGACAAATCCTCCTCTGTGTGTTTTTAGGCTGTCCGGAGCACACATTGCTTAGAGGTTCCATTGAGCCACAAGGGGAAACTGATGGTCTCCGAAGAATATATTGAATTTCTGATACATGTAGCTAATCAGAAAATGGAAGAAAACATGAGGAGGATTGACAGGTTTGTAAGAGCGCCCCAGTCCTTCTCGCGACATCTAAATCCCAAAGTGACAGACCTTATGTGAAAAAAAACCCAACAAAAACCTCAACCAAAACCTAACAACCCCTCTGAAGTCTAAAATACAATTTCCATTATTTTTTTGAGCTTTGAGGACTATAAATTGTTTAAGCAAAAATCTATAAACAACATGAGTTTTTGGAGTGTCTCTGTTACTGAGCAGGGTTTTGGATTCTCTTTGTAACGATCACAGCATCTGTTACTCCCAGGCAGTAGCTGTTCCAGGAGTGCTCAGATTGCTTTCATCCACTGAATGGTCGGTAGAGTTCCCAAAACTGCTGATTTCTGGGGTGGTGGAGGGTTACAAACACTTTTGGAGTTTACGTTTGTCTCCAGCTGAGTCCGGAATGGGCAGAAGGGCCAGAGCGTGAGGGCCTGAAGGTCGCTGGAGAGACGCTGCTGGACTCACTGGTCATTCTGTGTGCGGTGGAAATCGCTGCGGTTCTTGTCAAAGGTCCCTGCTGGTAGCAGGGGTCCAGCTGACCATTAGTGGTGCCATCCAGCAGCCAGTTAACCTGCCACCATTTCATAGCTTCTGTGGGTTTAACAGGGCCCTATGGCCCGTGAGGCGCGCTGCAGAGAGCAGTGCCCTGGCACACACAGGGACACTGCCCCTTTTTCTTCCAGCATTGACTTCAACATTTCAACGTTAGCAACGACTCTCTTCTCTTGGCACGTTTTGATTACATTACAAAACTACTCTCAGAGTAGTTTTGCAGATCCTGAGCAAACCTACAAAGATAATAACTCCCCATTTGTTTCATTCCAGATTCTACAAACGCTTGGAGGTGGCTTTGGAAACTGCCCTGGGTGCAAACCACCCTCCCCAGGGGACGGGGAATGGCACCGTGTACCTGCGCAGGAGGAGGAGGAAGATCCTTCAAGAGCAAGAGGCAGGAGCCTCTCCAAAGGATGGCAGTGAGGAACTAGAGCTGGAGGATGGTGCAGAAAGCAGTCTGGATATTTTTGCTGAAATCACCATATAGACTAAGCCATTTGAAAGCAAGTGGCAAACTGAATACTTGTAATGCTCTTCATAAGAGAGGGAAGTACTGCTCTAAGTGGCAACACTGTTGTGGACATTTACCAGAGGAAAAAAAAAAGAAGTCAAACAGAATTGTGGGCAGGTTTAATGCCACAGGAGCACAGAGAATAAAACCGCAGGATGTTTGGGGTTTTTTTAACAGCACTGTTGAATTAACAATCTTTTTCTCTGTCCATCACTTATCCCAGCAATAACTGGTTTGATGCAGCCTTTGGCCACATTCTCTGTGGAAGCATTTTACTGGCAAACGCTGAGTTTTGGCCTTCTGATTTTTGCACAGCAGAGAAACTCTAAAAACTGGGTTGTTGTCCTGGAAGGTTTTTAATCCCTGTAGGATTCCCCTGTGCAAAACTGTGTGCACCACCACCACCGGCCCTCTCAGAGCAGCACAAAGCCATGGTCGGGGCCGCTGAGGGGCAGCACCCGGTGCAGCAGCGAGAGCAGAGGGGCAGAAGGTACGAGCTGCCCTGGTGTGTCCAGGCTCCGTCCCGGCCGTGGCACTGGCAGCGAAGATGGGGCTGGGTTTGGTGTTTTCCTGCGTTTCAGTCAGTGTCGGGCTCCAGCCCCGCCGTGTTCCTGCCTTCTGCTTCCCCTGCCCAGGTGCCACCAAGTATTAGTGTCCTTTGTGTCTCTTCCCCAGCGCTCCGTGGTTCGTTAGCACCTGGACTCGGTGTGGTTCGTTAGCACGTGGACTGTCTCTCTGTGGCCAGCTCCAGCACGGGGCAGAAAGTCCCCCGAGGTGCACAGAAAGGGCCCCTCTCACCAGCTGTGAAGCACTGACCTGCAATCAGTGTTCAGTACACACCGGTGTGATAATTAGTGCCTTCCTGCAGTGCACCTCTGGAAAAGTCACTCTGTACTTGTATTTTTCAGAGAAATGGTGAATTTACAAACCTCAGCAGCACCAACGGGTGCTGAGCCCTCCCTCTTGTCACCAGAGAATGGCTGACACTGCACGAGGAGGCCCGGGCTGCCTGAAGGTGTGTGTTTGGTGCCACGACTCCCTGCTCACAGCCCCTGGCCGGGTGCTGTCGTTGTTTCCATCACGTCAGCCCCTGTCTTGGGGACCTTTCCATTCCACTGTAAAAGTTTGACGTACTAGGTGGCAGCTAAAGGGAAAAGCAATTGGGGGCTTTAAATAGCCTCTGAAAGAGCTGTCGGGCCGTGTTTCCAGGCACAGACACGCCAAAAAAAATAAATCTGAGCCTTTTGTGCCACATGTTTGTGTTACCCACCGTTTCAACAGTTTGGTGCCTTCGTCCTGGTCCTGGGGGGCTGAGACCCCAGCCCCTGGCTGGGCTTGGGAAGGTGGGAGGCCAACAGGGTTGTGGCCTCATGAGGAGGTGGCAGTGGGGTCTGCTGCTCGCTGGGAGGCACCACTGCCCGCCCTTCAGCTGGACCCAAGCTCCCACCACCATCCAGCATCTGCTGCCGTGCGAGGGTGGGCAGCTCTTGCAGGCAGCTGCCCGGGCAGAGCCCGTCCACAGGCGGTCCCCATCCCCACTGCTGGGGGTCCCACCGTCCCCCAGCTCCCTCCTCGCTGCCCCACGGCTCCTGCCTGCGGAGGGGACGGGGGGTTGCTCAGGGCAGCTGCTTTTTCCTTTTTTCATTTTATTTTCAATCAAACCACTACAGTAAAGGCCCAAAGCCTCACCCTGTGTAACAGCACGTACGGGATTCAGTTCTTGGAAATACAGTTTGTGAGAAGCTGCTCACAAACGTGGTAGGACCCCCCATTCCTCTGAAAAACGGCACCAAATTCAGGGAGGTTTTTGACAGTCCGAAGTAGAAAGGTGACCCCATGACTGCCGTCCCGTTCCGTTGTACCTGCCCACTCCAGTGGCTGGAGACGGCCAGGAACCTCCTATGGGAAAACAAAGACCCTACAACAAGAGAAATAAACCCTCGTGTGATTCTCAGTGAAAGATCGGGGAATCACGTTCCTTCACTGCTTCACGTACCGAGTGGATTTTACAAGGTTTTTCTCAGTTTCTTACCCCCCAAAGGTGTCAGAGGGTGACACGGTGGCCGCAGGTGCCAGCACCACCCTGCCCCAGCCACCACTGCCCTCACTGGGGACAGCCACGCTTCTCCAGCCACAGCCTGTTTCACAAGTGCCTTTTGGGGTCTATTCCAGCCCCTCTAACACTGTTACTCTCCCAACGCCATACCCGGCTGCAGAGCCAGCCCAGGGGCTACTCAGCCCCGGGGGCAGCAGCCCCTGGTAACCCGGGGGTGCACGAGAAACAACTGTTGATAAGCAACAAGATTCCTAAAATTGGCAAATTGCTACCGCTTGCAAGTGTGCTTAGACACCTAATTAATGAAAGCGCATTTTGAGCCCAATTTTTCATACTTGCTTTTGCCATGTTAAAATATTGGAACATTTAAGTTTAGTTTCATTCCCTTTGTGCTCAGTTGTTCGCGGGGAGGCAGGTGTGTCCCTTCAGGAACTCATCTCCCCTTCTCACCCAGCACACGCAGTGCCCACACCAGAAAATCACCATCTGTTGTCACCCCTGGAGCAGGAGCCAGAGCCCGGGCCCGTGGTGACGCTCACAGGCAGCGCTGCGTCCAGCCCCAGGGGTCACCGGCCAGGACGGGGCTGGACACCCCACCACAGATGTCACAAGCATCTGCTGGGCCCAGCAGCTCCCTCTGACACCGAAGCGGTACCTCAGCTCCCCAGAGCCCCAGCTCCGGGGGCGGGGGGACTCGCTGCTTCCCAGGGGAGCCCAGGCTCCGGGACGGGCGGCTGATGGTCCTCAGCCCCCTCCAATTACCGCTGATGGTCCTCAGCCCCCTCCAATTAACGCTTCACCTTGCTCTGGGCTGAACAACACCCCCCAACTCTGGAACACTTCGTCTCTTTTTTTGTTGGTGGTTTTTTTTTGTAATAACTCTGCACCATTCGGTATGCCGTGCCCGGAGTTTTAGGAGGCACTTTTGGTTACTGAAAATACACGAAAATACAATCACAATACCTCGTGGATGGGATTTTATGAAATGTGACACTAAGGAGAGTGTTTAACTCCTGGGGTACCCGCAGCTGAAGGCAGCACTGGCGCAGCGCGCTGGGCACTTTTCAAAAGAACCTTCGAAAAGAAATTTGAATCTTTAAAAAAAGTAGATAAACGTGTCCCTAAATTTGGCCAGCTGCCCGCTAATTCCTTCCCGGCCAGAGGCAGTAAAGCCCGTGGGAAGCGCTGTCGGGAGCCGGCCCCGGCGCGGGGGCAGCGGGACCCGCTCCGAAAATCACACACCACCCCCCAAACTCCACGGAGAAGTTACACATCGGCTTTCGTTCCGCTTTCTGGATGCAGTTTATTTATGGTAACTGAGCAAATAGGATATTTTGGTCAAATTTTATGCTGGAAAAAAAAATATTTTGCTTTCATTTTCTGCATTTTTCTTTCATTTTTCCCCATGAAAAGAGAAATATTTTTTCTCAAAACCAATTGAATTTTTACCAAAAAGAACGTAATTCCTTTCCTCATGTAACGAAGTTTTATAGCTCCTGTAATCAGATTTTTTTGGGAAGAATGCTAAAAGCCGAGAATGTGAGGGTTTAATCGAGGAATCCCTGTGCCCGGCCGGCGGAGGCGCGGATCCCCGCACCGCCCCGCCCCGCGGGCAGGCAGAGCGCTGTCTGGGCTCCTTCCCCGCAGCAGCCCCTCTCGGTACAATTCGGGAGCGTTTTTAACGTTAGAGCCGGGGTCGCGGGTGTTTGTTCTGTCCCTCGAGCACACCCGCGAGCTTCCCAAACTTTCTGGGTGTGCGGTGCCGCGGGGCTGCCCGCCGGGACCCGCACCGGGACCGGGACAGCTCCGGGGCCGCCGAACGCGCCCAGTCCGGCCGTGCCCGACCCCCGCTGCCCGCGGGGACCCCCGGGCTGCCCGGCCACTGTCCCCCCCACACCACGCGTGGGCCGGGACCTCGCCCGCTCCTTCCGCCGCCTCGCACCGACCCGCGCCCAGCGGAGCCCCGCGGCCCCGGCGGAG